ATATGTCTGAGACAAGCAGAAACGGTCAGTTAAGTTGATGTTAGGCGAAATGAACCCCAAGATAAGGACTCAAATGGTTTTTCTTTCTTGCTATTGTTTCTAACATATTTATAAGATATTTCTTTGTTGCTTTGTATGTCCCTCCCCTATGGTATAACCCATGTTTTCACTGTATTTGATGTTGGTATAATTTGTGGAGGGGAAGGTGGACCCATTGCAACAATGAGATGTACAAGACAGTATGTCAAAAAACGAACGTTGCAACTTTGGCAGGGAGCCGCCGTAGGGTAGGCCACAGGAAAGGAAGACCAGCACTGTGAGCAGGATGGTCATGTATAACCTTGTCAGTGGAATCTGTCCTGAGCCACAGAATAACCTAGCCATCAGAGCCAGGGCAGACCCTGAGAGAATCACAAACAATAAAATCAAGTATAGAGCAGTAGAAAACTAAAATATCTTACACAGGCCAGATATTCTGAAATCCAAGATCCCACAGTAATAAGTTACCAACATGGTCAATGGCAGGGACAACACCAAGCCAGTAAACATATAATTGTTGCTGTATGTCTTGGGAGGCTGCAGCGAGTGGTACCAGATAGGGCGCAGACCAGACATGCAATGATCTAGGCTAATAGTCAAGCCAGTAATATAGGAATAGAAAAAAGGAGGAGAACGTGACAAAATAGTTCTGAGTGAAAATGAAGACGCTAGTATTTTCTTGCATGAAATGAAAGATGTTGAAGCAGAGGTAGAGGAAGTTAGCCCCAGCCAGGTTTAAGATGTAGACTGAAACACCCTTTCTGTGTATCCTGAAGCCCAGGAGCCAGAGCACAACTGCGTTTCCTGCCAGCTCAACCAGTTCAGCACCAGCTTTTCCATGGCACAAGATTTGTTAAAGGGCTGGCTATCTTCCTGCATTACTGTGACTTCTGTCGTAGAGGCTGGTGTGGTTGGATCCTTGTTCAGTAACTCTCCTGTGATGTGTGATGCCCCTGAAAATAGAAACAAGACTTAAACATGTCCTGTGAATCTCATCATCATCCTCGATTTCAAAAAACAGAGTATCATAGACATTAAGTAAGATGTCAAGAGCAAGCTTCAAATCTAAGACTCCTTATAAGGAAGGTTGAGCTTTCTATCCTGCTTCTAAAATCTTCTAAACAGCACAGAAACATACTATGACCCAAACACCCCATTCGGTGGGCTAGTGCAAGAGACCCAGAGTACTCTGCTCTGGACCTGAAAACTTCTTCCAGGTGCAAGAATTTAGAAAGACAGAAAGGTCATCATGACATCCTCAAGATTCAAAAATTTCCCTCCAAGTTGGAGAAAGAGCAGACACTTCAGGAACTAATGGCAAATTAAGCTCTTTCTAGAACAGTTGTAGGGATAGGATGGTCTAAAAATGGCTCTGAATATCAGGCACTGAAGACAGAAGACATATATATGTGTAAGGCCCTGGCATTCAAGACTTACTAAATGAATGAAAGTAAGTTAGATGACTTGTGTTAAATGGAAAATAGAAATGAAATGAGAATAAAAGCCATTAGAAAAGATAAATAATAGGATGAGGAAATTATATTCATCCTAATTCTTTTTGTGCACAGTTCTAGGCATATTTAGAATTACTTATGTGTGCTCAAATACCTGATGTTGATCACTGATAGACATTGGATTAAGGACCCAGTATTGCTTTGCTAAGTACCTAGAGATATTTTGGTATTCAATTGGGGATAGGATTTGCTGATGGGTTTAATTGCTCAGCTGTGTAAAGTGGAGAAAGTGAGGTGTGTTCTGAGTCCCACTGAAGGAAGGTATTTGAGGTGTGGGAATAGTTACTGGAGAAGCACTAAGTGCTGGGCTCCAAAGTGAATAATATAAACCAATTCCACACCCTCTTCCAGATCTTTGATAGAGGTTCTCTGAGATGAATGCTTTTATGTGAGAGAGTCTAAATGGAAGTAGAAAAAGTACAGGATGTGAAATGTGATGAGAGATACTTAAGCAGAGTTTAACTAAAGTTAAAGGCCCAGCTGACACTCAAGTGAAAAACACTAGTAGATCAAGGATCTACCAGGAATTGTCTCTTTTAAGCTGCTCAAGAGCTTGTGAGTCCAAAATTATTATTTCTCCCATTGGACAAAAGATTGAATGAGAGCACAAACAGTATGGGTGATTAACACTGGGTCTCAGAGAGGGTAGATTGGAAGCCAGTAGGGCTGCCTCATGTCCCTCATGCCACCAGCAACTTGAGCACACAATCCAGTTTGAATGAATTAAAGGTGGATGAAGAAAAAATATAAGACAAATTCCCACTATAACCAATATAGGAGTCAAAATGGTAGATGAAATAAAATATAGCACAGAAAAAAATCTCCAGAAATAGAAAGGAAGAGAATCCAAACAATTTAAGAAGTAGGTTGAATATCAGAAATAGATAACAGAATCCAGGAGACATTTCTTTCCTGAAAAGGTTAAGCACAATTGGTAGTCAAGAAGAAAAGAGCCTGGCACTGGTGACTCACTTATGTAAATTTAGGTACTTAGGAGACTGAAATTTTGGGGATCTGCATTCAAGGCCAGCTATAGCAATGTTTACAAGATACAGTCATAATGAACAGCTTGACACAGTGGTAGCCACCTATTATTCTAGCTACTGGGAAGCATTACATACAAGAATTATTCTTAGATGCTTGCATGGGCAAGAGTAAGACCAAATCTCAAAAATTATTGACTAGGCAGGCACAAAGAAACATAGGTCCCAAGGTTTCCCTTATTTGCAATAACTAGTACATGTCTAGGACAAGCAAAAAGGTAAAAAACTATGTACATATGATCATATAAAATGATGTTAAGCGGAATGAATCCCAAGATAGGGACACAAATATTTTTTTCTCTTCTATTGTTTCTAACATATTTATAATGTACTATGTGATTTTTTTGTTTCTTTGTATGTTCCTCCCCCATGGTATACCCTGTTTTCACTCTATTTGATGCCGGTGCCCCACATCTTGTATATACACTTCTCTAATTTGGGGAGGGGAAAGGAAAAAACAAAATGCTTAAATAAGGATACAGGTTGACCCATAGTAGCAATGAGATGTACAAGACACTATGTTGAAAACAAACTTTACAGCTTTGGTGGGGGTTAGGGGGCCAGTAGTTGAAGAGGTGGGAGGGAAGGGATGGAAGGGGAAAAACAAAGGAGGAGGCAACAATGCTCAATAAGAAATGTACTCATTACCTTGCTCATGTAACTAACCCTTCTGTACAGTATTTTTACTATAAAAACATACAAAAATTATTGGCTAGGGTTTTTTATTGCACTGAAGTTATGAGTCAACAGTTATAGCACCTACCCAACAAGCAAGAGGACCAGAGTTCAAACCCCAATACAAGGGAGAAGGAGAGAGGGAGAGAGGAGGGGGAGGAAGAGAGAGAGAGTCAAAAAAAGCCATATGAAGACATAGTAGATGTAAGCTTAATCTGAGGAATAGGCAACAATCAAGGTATAGGAAGTAAAGAGATCTTAAGTAAAATTCATCCCAAAGAAGGATTCACAAAAACATAAAACTCCATATATTATAATAAAAAAAACAAAGAAAAAATTCTGAGAGATGTTAAAGAAAAGGAATTAATCGCATACAGAAACCTGTGGGCTAGGACAGAGCCAGGTGGTGAGGTGAAAGTATTGTGTCAAAAGTAACAGCCACCCAACAATAACTTGCCCATATGGTAGTGTTTCAGGCACAATACAGAAATGATAACTTTCCCAGAGCAACAACAGAAAAAATAAATGTATAACCACTTGACTTATTTACAAGAATGGTTAAAGCAGGTTCCTTGAGCTATAATAAATGTCTGTAACATAAAAACATTCAAAAGCACAAAACCCAGTTGCACAAGTAATATGGGAAGTAATATGAACCAGTATTCAAAATATTTGTTTGAATGGTTGGAATATTAATTTTATGCCTACTATGTGGTTCAAAGGAAAAAATAGTAATGATTATCTCTAAATTAAGATTCACAGAGAATATTTGAACAATATGTCCAGGCATAGTGGCTTATTCATGAAATTCTCATTGCTTGAGACAGACATCTGGGTAACAGTTTAAGTCCAATCTAGGCAAAAGTTCAAAAGATCCAATCTCTACAACAACAACAAAAAACTGTAAAGAGAGGCACATACCTGTCATCCTAGCTATGCATGAAGCAAAAATAGGAGGATCATGACCCAAACTGTTCAAGTAAAATTGTGATATCTTATCTAAAAAAAATAACTAAGGGGCTGGGATGTAGCTCAGTGGCAAAGCGCTTGCCTAGCAAGTGCAACGTCATGGGTTCGATCCCCAGTACCAAAAAAGAAAAGACAAAAAAAAAATACAGTTAAAAAAAATAACTAAGGCAAAAAAGGCTTACGTGTGGTTCATTTGTAACAAAGTGACTGAGTTCAATTCAAAGTGGAATGAAGGTGGGTGGGCCTATGAGGGAAGGCATAAAGTAATCTTTCTGTGGTGTAGGGATAGCTCAATGTCTTCAGTGTGGTGGTGGTTAAGCATATTTATCTATGTGACAAAATGTGGTAGACTTACCCACAAAGGCAAATCTTCCCCCAAAACAAAAGTGAGTGAATATAAAACCTTGTAAAACCCAACTGACAGCTGCAGGTAGTATGTGGATGGCATTGGTACATGAAATTGGCAATTGTGTACCAAGGTCCATTTTCTGATTTTGAGACTATATCCTTATAAAGATCCAGCACCACACAACTACGGATTACAAATAGAGGATGGAGAAACAGAGGAATAAGTTTCAAGCCAATCCAAATTCACTATCAAAATTGTGAGGTAAAAACTAGCACCAACAATCTGCAGAAGTTAGTGGAAGAGAAGCCAAAGAGATAAGAGTACAAAGGAACAAGTGTACACTCCCACCAACAGTGCAGTAGGGTTCCTTTTTGGCCGTATCCCCTCCAGGATCTGTTGTTATTAGAATTCTAACTGGGGTGAGGTGGAATCTCAATGTTGTTTTGATTTGCATTTCTTTGATGACCAGAGAAATTGAGCATTTCTTCATGTGTCTATTGGCCATTCTTATTTTCTTTTCAGAGAAGTCTCTCTTTAAGTCTTTAGCCCACTTATTAATGGGGTGGTTGTTTCTTTGAGGATTTGTTTTTGGAGGATTTAAGTTTTTGAGTTCTAAGTATACTTTAGATATGAGACCCATGTTGTTCCTTTTAAGAGGAATAGGGTTCCTCTTTCTCCACATCCTCACCGGCATTTTTTGTTGGCTGAATTTAGGATGTGGGCCATTCTGACTGGGGTAAGGTGGGGTGCCCTGAATTTTGTATATACATTTGTCTAATTTGGGGAGTGGAGGGAAATAACAAAATGCTGAAACAAGGACACATGCTGACCCATTGCAACAATGATACCCACAAGACACTATATTGGAAATGAACTTCACAACTTTGGGGGTGGGGGAGGAGTAAGAGAGGTGGGGAACGGAAGGGATAGTGGGAGAACAACAAAGGAGGGGTTAACAAGACATGTACTCATTGCCTCACTCATGTAACTATAACCACTCTGTACAGCATCTTTACAATAAAATAAAATTTTAAAAAAAGAGTTCAAATGAGAGATGAAGGCCAATTAGGAATGGCTGTAGTATTCTAGAATTCCTCTCTTGCCTCAAAAAGTCAGCCATCATCTTGGGATTGAGGAGAATTACATGGATAAAAAGCCCCTAAGTAGAAAGAGGACAAATTCTATTCTTAGGATTCAGAGAGGCATTGAGAGGCAAATGTACTATCATGAGCTCTGCCTACCCCCAGTAACATAATTGAATACTTGGACTAAAGGGCATTTGGATCAGAAGGGAGAAGGTTCCGCTGTCCCTCCCAGCCACGAGGCTGCTCATATCTAGTTTTCAGATGGAAGCTTCCTGTCTCCTACCTTTCACCGACTGAAAGCATCCCCACACAAAGCAAATGGGGGAAGGGCTTAAGCCAAAAATCTTACCAAACTTGAGAAACAAGGCTAATCTTTTTTTTGGGGGGGGTCCGGTTGTGGGGCCTTAACTCTGGGCCTGGGCACTGTCCCTCAGCTCTTCAGCTCAAGGCTAGCGCTCTACCACTTGAGCCACAGCGCCACTTCTGGCTTTTTCTTTTTGCTTATGTGGTGCTGAGGAATCGAACCCAGGGCCTTGAGCATGCAAGGCAAGCGCTCTACCACTGAGCCACCTTCCCAGCCCCAACAAGGCTAATCTTGATATAAACCCTTACCTTTCTTCATTCTTCTGTCAGAAGGTGAAGAGCTGACTTGTTTGAATGGTGTCCTTCTGGCATTGAAGGATGCCAGGGGACTCTTTTGTCTTAGTTAAACTGAAGAGCCAGTCAGAGTGACTCTAATCTTTGTGTGTGTGTGTGTGTGTGAAAACACCATACAGAGGGGTTACAATTACATGGGCAAGACAGTGAGTACATTTCTTATCAAGCATTGTTGCTTCCTACTTTGTTTCCCCATACCACCCCTTCCCCTCTCCACTCCCCATCCCCACACCCCTCTACCACCCCCCACCCTACCACCCCCCACCCCGCCTAACTCTTGTACATCTCATTGTTGTAATGGGTCCACCTGTAATCTTAAGGTAGTCCTTAAGTCTCAGAAAAGCCTGGAGTTCCCTGATAACCACACTATGAGTCAGCCAATCAGCAGGGAAACGGAAATTACAGGATAAGCAGAACAAAGACCCCTTGTATTTCAAACCCAGAGCAAGACCAGCCCGACTGCACCAACGAAGTGCTAGGTCTGCAGTTGCTATGTCTGCAGTATCAAGTGTTAACCAATCATGTGTAGGCCTAAATGAATTTCCCAAGCTTGCTCACAGTGTATTATAAAAGCTGTGAAAAAACAGAGGTTGTGGCCTTCCTGCATAACCAGCTGCGACAGTGTGCATGAAGTCCAGGCTCAAGCATGCAATAAATGACTCTCGTGTGCTTGCATTGGAATCTGCTCCTTGGTGGTCTTTGGGGGTTCCTATCTGGGCTTAAAAACCAGGGGATTACTATAAGAACCAGAGAAAAATCTTGTGGCTAGCAAGGCTTTATCAAGATGTTAGACAGCCCCTGTGATTTCCTGTGGGCAAATCAGATACCTGAGTAATCTGAGACAGTATCCTCACAGGGATGTCTCTGGACTTCTGTGCAATTACACCTCATATCCAATCTCCCCTTCCACCTCATTTCACAAGATGTTCAGAAACATCTTCCCATTATCCATTTATTTATTGGCACCTCTGCTGCCATTTTACTTGATGTGTACTTTCCTTTCAATGTAATCCTTTAAACCAGAATGTTCAATTTCCTATGAGCACAGGCAAAAGTAATAGCAAGCCCTATCGGATTGCTTGTGAGTCTGACTAACTAAAGAATAAGCTGTATCATAGGGTCATTTAAGGCCTGACTTCTCCTTTGCCCTTATTTTTCTTATCACTAGCAATTCATCCATCCATTCATTAATATGTGTGTGTGTGTGTGTGTGTGTTTTAATTCCAAATGGCATAGAAATGAATGAAGGTGAAATTCTCATGAATTCTATCATTTTCATCATCCACTAACCACTTCCTATACTTTCTACTCTATTTTTCCTCATAATTACTACTGAATAATAAAATTACATTTCTATTACTACTTTACTCATGTGAGAGAATAGATTAATTGACTTCTATAAAATGTAGAGTTCATGTTCACATAGCTTAGACTTCTGCCATCCAACGAAATTTTTATTTATTTTTGTTTCATTAATATAAAAATTTTAAAGTGTCATATATGATTTTCCTTCTTATGAGTCATGCTACACTAAAGTCATCTATGTGTTATTTCTTAAATGTAATATGAATTATAATCTATCCTAGTTATTCAAGGAAGTTCTTCAAAGAATTCCTTCTGCAGATTTTTGGTTGTTGTTTTTAAGCTTTTGTTACAGACTGGGTGAGTTCTTTGTGAATTTGAATAAAGAAGTCCTAACCACCAGTACTTCAGAATTCCATAGATCTGCATATGGAGTCTAAATAAGGAAAGAATTAAGTTGAAATGAGTTTGTGTGGGTTTTAAACCAATATGACTCGTGTTCTTTCAGAAGAGGAGATTAGGACACAGATACAGGGAGCTTAAATACAGAGAGATACAAACTAACTACAAGTCAGAAACCTCCCAAGGAACTTACTCTGAAAAAAGATGACAACAAAGACTTCCTCAGGGCAGTAGAGTGGGCACAAGAATATTCAGGAAATATGAAAATGTTTTGTGTCTTCATTGGCTTTTGAGCCACATGGACATATTGATTTGACAGAACTAATTACATTTCTGCATAATAATTTTAGTTGTTATTTGTTTATTTATCTTAACTGATACATAAAAATATTAAAACTTATATCTCTTTGGGGAGTTACTATGTGATATTTGGATACAAGTATACATTGTATAATATTTAAATCAGATAATTTCTTTCTGGTAAAAAGTTTCAAAATGCTTTTTATCTAATTTTACTAAGTAGAGAGTACAGTATCTGTAAATGCCCTAATGTGCAATAGCCCACTAGAACATCTTACACCTATTGATTGATAACTTTGTACCCATTGATCTGATTGTGTCAGTCCTAACATAATGGTCTTCAGGTCCAACAATATTGTCATAAATGCCAAGGATTCATTCTTTTTAATGACCGAATAGTATTTCAGTACACCACACACACACACACACACACACACACACACACACACACACACACACACACACACTGACATAGAGAAGGTCTTGGAAAATACAGAGTAAAGAAACCATAGAAAGAAATGTTTTACTATTTGCCAACAAAATGTCCCTTCTGTTCCATCTTTCTTTGAAGCCAGGAAGGAGACATATCTACTATTAGAGGGTGAGCAAGAAGACAGCAGATTGGGATTTTTTTTTTACATTTCCTTGACTAGAGTCTAAAATGACAAAGGCTATGTGACTGTATCTAAGGATATATCACATCATGTGACTCTTTCCTATACCAGAGCTAACAGTACAACTACAGCTACAGCTAGCTCTGAAATTCTGATAACTCCTCCTTTCCATTGTCTCTCCAAACCTAGCGATGTAACATTCCCTCACCTCACTCAATTATTCTTCCTGGTCAGGAAAGTTTTCTACATCCCATGTAATTTCCTCTCTGAACCTATCTATGCTAGTGAATTGTCTTTTGAATAGACTCCCATCAATCATTGTAACCATCTGTTTCCAACTGGAAACTTGATACATGGGTAAAAGAAAAGTAAAATACATGGGTGCTTTACTGACAACACTGTGTGGGGAAGCAGTCATGTATCTCAGCTCTCCAAATGAAGGAAAGTAACAGATGTTATACCATTTCCTTTAATTTGAATGGTTGAAATGAAGCATAGATGGAAATGTTCTGAAAAAGGGAACAGTTCTGATTCACAGCTTTCTAATAACTTGAAGTTTAGCCTGCCAGCATTCAAAGTCGCCAAGAAGAAGCATCATATTCCCTTTTCGTTCCTGTTAGGGCTAAAGTTTTTCTCCTAAGATGCTCCATCCCAAGGTGAAAGGATGCAGATCTGGTTTAAAATTTAAAAAGACAAGCTATGTCCCAGTAATGTGGTGGCTTACACTTACAAGTATGACCTAGGAGGCTGAGATCTAAGGCTAACAGTTCAAAGCCAGTCCATGGAGGAAAGTCATCTTCAATCTCATCTTCAATCAACTACCACAAAAGCAGTAGTTCTGTGGTTAAGTGATAGCCTTAAGCAAAAGGGCTCTAGGACAGCACCCAGGTTCTGAGTTCAAGCCCTAGGAAAAAAATAATTAAGACACCATTAAAACCAGGTTCTTACCTTTCCTCCATTCTTTCTACTGGGTATGATAGACTCTGCTGTGTGGTAGTGAAGAAATTCTGGTTTGTCAATCTCACAGGACACTTGTCTGCCCTGGAGATTTTGTGATGATCCTGTGACTCGTCAAGATGAAGGACATCTCTGTGGTTCCTTGTCTGGGAACCTACCAGCAAATGAGAGTGTGGAGACTATTGAGTCCTGTTCCTTGCACAATGCTGCTGAACATTTTATCTTAGTCGACTTCTATCTCTCAGCCTCGATGCATCATCACCCCATTAGTCAACTTCCCTGTAAGATGTTTTGTGGCTTCTTGCTGCCAGCTGACCACCAGTACCAAACGATGTGAGCATCTTTTGAGGACCTGAATGCAGGTAGGAATGTGGGCTGCCAAGGCATGATTAAAACCATGTAAGTGCCATTTTCTTTGCTTTAAGCTTTCCCCTGCCTTAGTAAGTGGCAACATTCAATGAAAAGAAAACAAGGAAATAGAACAGATTCCTGCCTTGGACCTTGCCCAAATGATCAGTGTGCTCTGAGGCTGAAAGAGGGCATTTTAGAAAACAACCTATAGCCTGGAAAAAGAAATAGAAAAGTAACAAAAAAACTTGGGGAAATGACTTCTCATGTTTGGAAAGAAAAACATGTATCCCCAAAACGGACATCTCTCTTGCAGAGAGCATCTGGCAAAAATTATCCTTTGCCTCACAGGGATACTTGTATAACAAGGTCTTTATGTCCTAAAATTTAGCAAACAGTTCAATCTTGGAAATCTTTGGGCTCACTTGATAAGCCAGTATGGCAGCAATGGTGGAATATGCCAGGTGTCCAGAACAAAGAGAAGCATTTACCCCAAAACAAACTACAGTCAAACCTCCAACCCACTTTTTCACCATAAATAATTACAATGCTAGAACATTCACTGTACCTGTTATCATATAAACCAGCACCTATGCCTGGGATTGTGCCCTAGCCTTTTAAATTTTCATTTCTGTTGTTTACTACTAAAATTTATTGTTATCTATCTCACCATGCTCTCAAATTCTTTTTGTTTTGAGACATCACAAACTCTATCTCCAAGGGTTAGGCTTTGGAGGCCTCCTTCTTGAGATATCACCTGTTCCAGTAAGATTTGTTTGGCAACTCTGCAAAGATGAATATCATTAGTTCCAGTAATAGATGGATCTTTGTGAACACATTAAAAATGAGAAAAAGCCTCAGAGTGGACAATGTTATATATCCATCAGGTGCAGAGGAGTGCACATTAACTCTAGGCTGACCCCACTGCTAAGTGCTGTCTTATCCACCACATTTCATCCGCTTGGATGCCTTCATTATTGGGTAGGTTTACTTGGGCAATGATCTCACGTTTTTGAAAAAAGGAAATGTGTTTTTAAATTGATTCCCAGTGTTGTTTGAGGTTATGTTATATCCCGGAGATGTTAGGTCTAGCTTTAGTGTCAATCTAGAGAGAGGGCAGAGAAACAGAAGTTGATATGAGTAGCTCTCATGATTCAGGATAGAACCAGTCCTTGAAGTAGAGTTTTATATGTTCCTGAGTTATTTTCCTTTCATGGAGTTAGGGAAAAATAGATTTTAGACCATAACTATAACCTACGTGTAACTGTAGGTTCTACCAGTGAGATTAATATAAACTACATGCTATCTTCATACAAGAACAAAATTGCCTATGATAGCTGAGAATGTATACTTGCATTTAAATGAGACATTTTTATAACAATCATCCGCCTACCTGCCAAAAAATGAAGAATGTTAAAATTTTTCCATGTTCTCCTAATCATCCTCTAAAGTAAAGAAGTAGGATTTTAAATACTCTTTAAAGGCTCAGACTCGTATCATTTCTCTGCTTACTTGAACTTTTGAAGCTGATATATATCACTTCATATGAGTAGGCTGAGAGAAATTTCACCTAAATATGAAGATGCTGTGGACAATGTGTTTCTTTTATAATTATTGTATTTATTATCATATATTAATTGTACACAGTAAAATAGTGTCATTATGACTTTCCTATACAATACACTTTGATCTTTTTCACTCCTTGTATTGCTCTTTACCCACTATCTTCCACAAATGAGAGGGAACATAAGATATGTATCATACTGCACTTATCAAGATCCACGTTTAAGTAAACAGCATAATTTCATTCTTTAAAAATTTTTTATTGTTATTATAAAAGTGATATACAGAGGGGTTACAGTTACATAAGTCAGGTAAAGAATACATTTTTCTTTGGATAATGTCACCCCTTCCCCCTCTCTCTCCCAGTTTTCCCTCCTGTCCCCACCCACAAGTTGTACAGGTCATTTTCGTCATAGTGTCTAATGAGTACCACTGCTGCATTTGTTCACCATTTATCCCTCAATTTCTCTGTTCCCCTTACCCTCCCAAAGACAGATAAATGAACACACAAGACAAAACTAAAAGAAAACAACAACAACAACAAAGGGTAAGCCTCTTGTTTTCATTTCCTGGAGTTCATTTCAATAAATATTATTTTATATGATCAGAGGTACATATACATTATACCATTGTGTTCTTCCCCTTAGAGTTCGTTCTTCTTAGTGGATGGATAGAATTCCACTGATGGCATATAAGCTGATTCCATAAAGTGGACACCACATTTTGAAAGAACTATAAATTTTCATCTAGCCTTTGACTGTGAGGCTACCAACTCATAAGCCATTATTCATCCCAAGGCAATAAAATACTTGGAGTTGGGTTTTTTTATATCAGGGGTTAAGTTTCAACCTAATTTGTAGATGAACTCTCTCCTCTATTCCTAATATTGGCCCTATGGAAGGCACAAAAGACTGTACTATAGAAGTAGCATCATTCCTAGTCACTGTCATCTCTTCTCTGCAACATCCTTCTCCTTGTTCCATCTTTCTGTTTGTTTGTCTGTTTTTTTTTTTTTTTGGATCCTATCAAGTTAAACACTTCCCTGAAAGACAGGGAGAACAATTCATTGCCTTTAGACTTGTCTTGCTAAGGTAATCTATCCGGCTTTTTCTGGACTTGTCCATAATGTAAGTCTATTTCCAACTAATTTTGCAAAACACACAGTGATCCTTATCACTTCAAGGCCATGACAGAGCAACTCAATGCTCACAGCCTTCTGGTCTTATATCTTCCTTAAGAGAGATTTTTCAACCATAACTAAGTAATTATTTCCATTTTGAAAACAATTTTTCAAGCTGTTTCTATGGTTTTTATTAACCTGGCATTGTGAGGCCTGGTAATGCAGCTAAATGTTAGAGTATTTGCCTGACATGTAAAAGGGCTTGAGTTCAACACCCAGCACCACAAATAAACAAGCAAAATCTCAGTGGCAGTGAATTGCCTAGTTCCATGAAGCCTCAGATTCAGTCCCCAGCACATTTACAAAAACAATAAGCCATTATAACTTTCCTTTTATGTCTACCTGGATTCTTATCTTTCCTCAATGAGTTCAAATATTTATGTATCTGTCAAATGTGTCAAAGATGATATGCTTGGGAAGTTATCTTTCACTATTACTTTCCATCACTACCCATGCACACGCTGAGATCTTCTCATAGTCTTTTTTGTTTCTGTGATTTTTTTCAATACTAAAGAGATGAATGAAGCTTAGAAAGTGCTTTTTAAGAAGATTTCTTGTTTCGAGTGCTACACTAATCTTTTGATAAACAACAACCAAGTTTTATGTACTTTTACAATATATGTATATTGACAATATACATACTACCTCATGCACAGCACATCAGGTTGCAGAAAGCATGTCACAGTTGTCTCTTTACACTTCATGCTGCTTCTCACTGTGATCATAGTCAAAATACAGAGACCTGAGTGTCTGGGAGTATTTAACTCATGTTGGTGGTGCCCTGAGTCCATGACTATCAAAGTCAAATCTCACTCTCTTGATCTGAAAGTCTATTCCAGATCTCTAATGGCATTGATATAGATTTGAGGAAAACAAAAACCTCAGTACTTTCTTGGATTGCATGAGATGGGCATATGGCCCAGGCCTATCAGTAGGTCAGCATGGAATCAACATATTCTCCTGTGACATATCGCATACACTCAAGATTGACAGACATACATGCAACTGGCTAGATGCATTTCTAGACTTTATTCTGGTAAGTAAAGAGTTAAATAACCAGATAGGGAAGGCATATGCCATGGCTTTGTGTGCCTGAATCCAAAGCTAACTTATCACCATGCAACAGAAAAATGTCAGCAAAAGACGTTATAAAAATTCAAATTTTATGTATTTTTCTTATACAGGAAGCATAATGTCTCTAAGGAAATTGTTTCTCCTGATGCTAGAAAACTTTGTGATGCAGCAAAGTTCATTCCTTCGGGACCAAGTTTCTAACTGCAGCACTGTCTCAAGTCAAGGGGCGTAATATAATTCTCTGGGGAACATAGCATGGGAGAAAAGTAAGGAATCTTTATTTTTATTGCATTTCTATAGAAAATGCTTATAAATTTGAGAATATGGTTTGGGATAAGAATTCCTCCATTGAAATAAAAAAAGAAAAGCATTTGATAAGACATGAATGACAAAGAAATAAAATGTCTGGCTCAAAAGGAAAAAAAAGAAATATGGGTGAGAACGTTGAAAGGGGTGACATTGATCATGATTTATCATATCCATAAACTGCTTTGTTAAATGACAGCTCTTTTGTACATCTACTTAAAGATAACAAACATTTTTTAAAAACCATGGAACTAATAATTTTTAAAAAGAAATATTTAGAGGGAATTTGAAGAATCCTTCCTTCCTTCCTTCTTTCCTTCCTTCCTTCCTTCCTTCCTTTCTTTCTTTCTTTCTCTCTCTTTCTTTCTTTCCTGCCTTCTCTCTCTTTCTTTCTTTCTCTTCTCTCTCTCTCTCTATCTTTCTTCCTTGGGCTTGAACTCAAGATCTGAGCACTGTCCCTGAGCTTCTTTGTCCAAAGCTAGCACTTTTACCACTTGAGCCACAGCAACACTTCTGATTTTTTCTGTTTAT